CAGGATCACTCACTGAGGGGAAGCCCGTCACCACGCTGTTATGACACTCAAGCAGTGCAGTGGCGAAGCCCCTGTGAGGAGGAACTGAGATCTCCAGCCCTCTGCTCGACTGCCACCTCGTTAGAGACCTCAAGCTAGAACCACCAAGCTAAGCCACCTCCAGATGCCTGACCCCGATACAGTAGAAGAAAATAAAAATATGTTGTTTAAAGCTGTTAAGTTTTGGAGTAATTTGTTACACAGCAAGAAGTAACTAACACACTGAGAAGCAACGTTTCCCCATCAGTAAAATGACGATAATAACTTCATAAGGTTTGAGGTTTCATGTGATAAAATCAAAAAATCCTGCATGACAGATTAAATGCTCAAGAGTATTAGTTACTGTTGTCAATATCATTATCCCACTATGCCAAATGGCTACAGCTACTCATAGGAGGCATGGTACCAGCCACAATTGAATTGAAGAGGTCGCCAAAGATCATTTCATCCAGAATCTTCTGAAGTAGGTGAAAGGGTTGAGGCATTATCCTCAGGGCAATTTAAGGAGGTTCAGGAAGGGAGTAATGGGCAGGTTGGTGTTTTACAACACTTGTGCTGTGTAGAGTGGGTGTTGCACAGGATGTGGTCATGGGTGGGGAGACAGGGAGAAAGTGAGGCTGATCTAAGAGAGAGAAAAGAGTGGTGGTGGTCTGGTCTAGGGCAGGGGCTGTGGAGATGGAGAGGAATTTAGGAAGTAGGAACAGAATTGGGGTAACATCAGAATATGGGTGGGGAGTCTGAAACAGAAGGAAGAGTTGACTTTTGGAGGTTAGATTAAGGAATTGGAAGGTTTTCTGATCAAGCCCAGATTCCTCCTGGGGATGGGAATGGGATGAGGTGATGAATGAGTCTTCTGCTGCTGCCATAATGAATCACCACAAACTTAGAGGCTTGACACAACACAAATTTATTATGTTACAGGGCTGGAAGTCAGAGTCCCACATGAGTCTTATGAGGCTGATATCAAGATGGCAGCTGGTCTGTGTTCCTTCTGGAAGCTCCAGAGGAGAATCCGTTCCTTGCCTTTTCCAGCTTCTGGAGGCCACCTGCATTCCTTGGCTCAAGACTCCTTCCTCCATCTTCAAAGCCAGCAGTATAGCCTCCTCAAATCTCTCTCTTCGAATCTCTCTCTCTCTCTTCTTCTCCCTCTCCCTCCTTCTCTCACTCATCATCTCGATAGATAGATAGACAGACAGACAGACAGACAGATAGATAGACAGATACATGCATACATACATACATAGAAACATGGATAGATACATATATAGATACACAGATAGATAGATCACAATCTCTCTCTCTCTCTCTCTCCCCCTCCCCCTCAATATCCTTCTCTTATTCTCTCTCTCTGACCCTTGTGCCTCCCTCTTAAAAGGACCCTTGTGATTACATTGGACCTGCCTGGATAATCCAGAAAAATCTCCCCATCTCAAGATCCTTCACTTAATCATATCTGCAAAGTCCCTTTTTCTGTGTAAGGTCATATATTCACAGATTCTAGGGATTAGGATGTGGGCAACTTGGGGTGGGGAGCCACATTATTCTACCTACCACAGGTGGGGTCTGGGGTCTTGGTGAGTGATTGAGCACTCAAGATGCCATTCACCCTTCAAACCCAAAAGAGGTGACCAAGGCTATAAAATCTGGACCGCAGAGGTCCTGCAGGGATGAAGGAAGGCGTAAGGGGAGAAAAAGGGGAAGGATGGGATGGAGGAAATGAACCACTCCAGTCAAGCGATTGCAGAAACCTAACCCCTTGTGACTTTCCTAGAAAAGGGGAAATATAAGGACACTCAAGATGGAAGAGGTCAGCCTGGAGGAGCCCCAGAGATGTCACTCATCCTCACACTGTGTGTGGGGGGCTCCAGGGAAGCCCTGCCCAACTTGACCATGCTCCTTCTGTGTTCTAAACCCTCCCATGGCTCCCTATTACCTTCAGGATGAAGTCCAGGCTCATTAATACGGCACTCGAGACCCTGCCTCATCTTAAGCTGGTCTCCCCCTCTAGCCTCCCCACTCCCCCAAAACCCCAGTCATCCTAAACTAATTGAAGCCCCCTGTAGCAGACACTGTTGATGCCTCCCTGTCCAGCCACCCTTGAGCAGGTGGTGCACCCATCTCCCAGCTTCCGGGGGTGTTGCCTGCTCACAGCTCACAGCTTCCCCTTCCCCAGAGGACTGCTTTCCAGTCCAACAGCTGCACAAACTTTCAGACCCAGCCCACAGCCAATAACTGGTGGTCACAGAGGTACAAAAAGCCAGCCCTCACCCCAAGGTGAGATCAACTTGGTGGTGTTGTTCAGGCTCCAGGGCTCCACATGGGATTAGGCTGAGGCTAGATTCCAGCTGAGACCACCTCCTTGCTCAGCTCCTCGCTCTGTCCTACCCTGCTCCTCTCACTCCGCCTCTGCTAAATGCCCTCCCTCAATAAACCCCATGTCCAAAAATCATCGTGTCAGGGCCCATGTTCCCAGACCGCAACCAATGCCCAATTATGTTAACATTTTTCTGCACAGGTGATATTCAAAGTATACGATTCCTCGTCTGGGCAGGGCACTGACCATACGGAATGGACACTGGCTATGAGACTCAGACAAGATCCTAGGGGCCACCCCTGGTGCCAGCCACTAACTCATTAGTAGCTGGATTGTGTGATATCTTATGGTAGAGGATAGACATGCAGCTGGACTGAAGTCATGATTTACCAAATAGAATGGAAATATATCCATACACTTTTTTAAGTTTAAGATGTACAATGCATTGATTTGATACATTTATATGTTGTAATATGATTACCACTGTGGCATTAGTTAACATCTCCATCATGTCACATGATTATCAATTCTTTCTTGTGGTGAGAACATTTAAAATCTAGTCTTTTTGCAACTTTCAAGTACACAATATGGTATTGTTGACTATAATTACCATGCTGTGCATGAGATCCCCAGAACTTATTCATCATATAACTGCAAGTTTGTACCCTTTGGACAACATCTCCCCATTGCACCAACACCCCAGCACCTGGAAACCACCATTCTACTCTCTGTTTCTACAAGTTCAGCTTTTCTTAGATTCCACCTATAAGTGAGGTCATACAGTACTTGTCTTTCTCTGTCTGACTTACCTCACTTAGCATAATGCCCTCAAGGTCCATCCATGTTGTCACAAATGGCAGGATGTCCTTCTTTCTCATGGCTGAATAATATTCTCTCATATATATGTCACATCTTCCTTATCCATTCATCTGTTGACAGACACATAGGTTGTTCCTACGTCTTGGCTATTGTGAATAATGATGCAATAAACATGGGGGTGCAGATATCTTTTCAATATCCTGTTCTCATTTCCTTTGGATATGTACCCATAGGTGGGATTACAGGATCACATGGTATTTATCCAAGAGAAATAGAAACATACCTCCACAGAGTGACTCACACACGAATGTCCACAGCAGCTTTATTCACGATTACTGAACACTGGAAAGAACCCAAACGTCCATTGACAGGTGACATATCTACACTGTGAAGCGCTGACTTGCTCAATGACGTGGATGAATCTCTAAGACATTATGCTGAGGAAAAGAAATCTGACATAAAAGACACAAAAGAGTAAATGCTGGAATATTTCTGTACTAGTCAGGGTTCTCCAGAGAAACAAAACCAATAGAAGAGAGAGAGAGAGATCTTAAGGAATTGGCTCATGCAGTTGTGGGAGTTGGCAAGTCCAAAATCTGTAGGACAAGCCAGCAGGCTGGAGACTCAGGTGAGAGTTGATGCTCTAGTCTTGAGTCTGAAGGCTGGACACTCAGGCAGAATTTCTATATTTCTACATTACCGTCTGGAAGCAGAATTCCTTCCACTCTGGGAAACCTCAATCTTTGCTCTTAAGTCCTTCAACTGATTGGATGAGGCCCACCCGCATTATGGAGGGCCATCTGTTTTTTTTCAAAATCTACTGATATAATATTAACCACATCTGAAAGATACCTTCACAGCAACACCTAGACTGGTGTTTGACCAAACAACTAGTCCCCACAGTCTAGCCAAACTGACACATAAAGTTAGCCATCACACAGTCCAACAATAGGAAATTCTAGAGGATGCAAACCATATATAGGGGAGAGAGGAGGAACAAATCAGTGGTGGCCTAGGGTGAAGTGGAGGGAGGGATGGATTAGAAAAAAGGCTCGAGGAAAGTGAGGGGGATGATGGAAATGTTCTTTATCTTGATTGTGACAGAGGTTGCCAAAACACAGCAAATTTTACACTGTGAAAGGAAGCTGTGTGTTGTACGCGAATCATCCCTCGATAAAGTTGACGAGATTGGCTCCAAAATAGAGTCCCCACCATTCTGCCAAGTTATTTTATTGCCATTCTATATAAAGGGACCAAATTATTTTATGCTATATAAATGGAGCAAAAGACATGAGTTTTGAGTTTCTCCAGAGAAGCGCGGTCTCTTAAATTTGTTTTCATATGGGGCTTGATCTCATTTCACAAAGATAAATACATTTGACCTTAGAAAGCTAAGAAACAACCTCTAGCTATAATTCCTTAAAAATTAAGATGCAACAACAAAAACGTGTACAGTTTCTATTTCCTAACTGCACACTGACTGATAAGAAGTATTTCTTGGAAACCCCATCCTCAGCGATAGTTAGAGCTCGGCCACACTCTTTTCAATCTACATTGTGTGTTGTTGTGTGAATTGTCACAATTTGCTTTCCCATCCCCTTGGAGCGGATTCCTGGTGTTTGCAAGCCCTGCTGGACACACACGCTCCCTCTGCAGATTACTGCAGAAACTCAGTTCCATGAATGCTCTTACTTATCATTCTATCTCAAAGGCAGAAGGAACAGCTAGAGGAACTGTCACCCTAGACCTTCAGACACTCCCAGAAGTAGAACCAGAGGAAGATGTGAAAGTGCAGAAGCTTGGAGAAGAAAATAATACATCATCATATTTGCTCCCCAAGCACAGGGCTCAGGGGCCAGAATTTCAGGGAAGTTGATCTGCAAGAATCTAGAGAAGAAAAAAATGAGCCTCCAGGCCTAAGCCTCTGAGAGGGAAGAAGGTTCTAGAAGGAGAGGGACGTCTGAAGGGTACACTCCAAATAAGGGACAATAAATTCTGTGAGCTTAGAGGACTGGCTTTTCTGGCAGATAGCATGAGTTTCACAGTATTAGTTTGCTAGGGCTGCTGTAACACAATATGACAGTCTACGTGGTTTAAACAACAGACATTTATCCTCTCACGGTGCTGGAGGCTGGAAGTCTGAGATAAGGTGTCAGCGGGGTTGGTTTCTCCTGAGGCCTCTCTTCTTGGCTTATAGATGGTCACCTTCTCCCTGTGTCCTCATATGGTCTCCCTTCTGTGCAGGTCTGTGTCCTAATCTCCTCTTCTCATGAGGACACCACTCATATTGGATTAGGACCCACCCTAATGACCTCATTTTACCTTAATTACTCCTTTAAAGGCCTTGTCTCCAAATACAGTCACATTCTAAGGTCCTCGGGGTTAGGGCTTCAACATGTGAATTTGGGGAGATGCAATTCAGCCCATAACATCTGCATTCCAGCTCCAACTATTTAATATGTGACCTTAACACATGATAGCTTCTTTGACCCTCAGTTTTCTCATTTACTAAAAAATATATGTCTACTTCACATAGTTATCTTGAGGACTAAGTGAAATAATACATGAAAAGCATTTAGCAGAGTAGTAAGTACACAGTAAATATCTATCAGCTACCATCACTATTACTATATACTGCATACAAATATGTACATATATTATTTTTACAGGATATTATAATGAGGTTTTCTGTTAATTTGGCTGCAGCCCCCAAATGTTGGAGAACATAATAAGAGGAAACAACAGAGCTTTATTATTTCATCCAAGCAGAGCTTGCAAAGGAGATGACTAATAATCAACCTTCTGACTCCTTTGCCAAAGGTTCAGCAACTGTTTCTGTAGAGGGCCAGGTAGCAAATATTTTCAACTTTGCAAGCCATAGGGTCGCTGTTGCAACTCCATTGTTATAATGTGAAAGAAGCCATAGATGTTATGGATGGATGTGGCTGTGTGCCACATCTGTGGACACCAAAATTTGAATTTCATATACTTCTTATGTGTCATGGAATATTCTCCTTTTGACTTTCTTCACAATTTAAAAATGTAAAAACCATTCACAGAAGCACTATTCCCAATAGCCAAAAGGTAAACAGAGCCTAGATGTCCATCAATGGATGAATAGATAAATAAAACGTGACACAGCCATACAATGGAATATTATGCAGCCATGAAAAGGAGTGAAGCAATCCACAACCAAAATAGAAGAAGATTGGCAACAGATGTTAGCGTAGGGTGAATCTTCCTCAGAAAATGAAAAAAAAAAAGTTATATTTGTTAAATGCCCAATAATCTAAAACATTCTAGTTATTAGAAAAATTAGTTAAAAGTCACAGCTGTTGCCAACAGGTATCTGATTATCTCCAGACTTCATGCTCCTTATGCAGGGAGAATTGTAGTCCTGGATTTAGGAAGAGCCCTCAGGAGAGAGAGGCTTTCTGTTGTTTTGACTGCACTCCCTGCCCAGAGAACGAGATTTCCAATGGGACAGGTGAGTGTATGCCTTACAGAGACTTTCTCTACCTCTCTGTTATGTCTGTTATTCATCCAAGGAAAGGTTCTGGATGAGACCTGCAGAGTCAAAATGCTTCCTTAGTCAATTTAGTAATTGACTATTATAACAGGCCACTCTCCTTCTTGAATTAAGTTCATGTATCCTAAATAAAAATCAAATCAGCATTCCAAATCCAGCTATATTTTATAAGAAGGCCATATCATGACTGAGCTTGGGTCATGCCATGTAATTCAGTACTCTAGTCTCTGAAAAGGGAGAAATAATAATCTCGACAACTGTAGAAAAGGACATTAAATTCAACACCCATTCATGT